AACTCAAAATAAAATAAAATAAAATAAATAAAATGTGCAAGGCATTGGCAGAAGTCAGAGCCATTCTCGAGAACTTCCAAGTTCTTTAATCAACTAATTAAGTCACCCTGACACTATGGGCAGTAGTTAGGATTGCAGTTATTTTTAAAAATCATTTTGTTTGTTTTTTGAGTCTGTGTCACCTGGGCTGGAGTACAGTGAGACGATTATGGCTCACTGCAGCCTTGACCTCCTAGACTTAGGTGATCCTTTCACTTTAGTCTCCCAAGTAGTTGGAACTAGAGGCATGCGTCACCATGCCCAGCTAACTTTACTTTTTTGTAGAGATGAGGTCGTCTCCCTGTGTTGGCCAGACTGGTCTTGAGCTCCTGGGCTCAAGTGATCCTCCTGCCTCAGCGAGTGGTGGTGTGGGAGGGAGGGGGAATGGAGCCACTCGGTGCTATGGTTTGAATGAGTTTCCCCAAGTCCATTTGTTGGAAACCTGATCCCCAGTGCAGCATCATTAGGAGGTAGGGCCTAATGGGAGATATTTGGGCTATAGGGTACTGCCTTTATAAATGGATTAATGCCGTTATAGACAGAGTGGGTTTCTTATAAAAGGACAAGTTCAGCCCTCCCGCTCTCTTTTCCTCTTCCTCTCTCCGTTCCCCCTCCCTCCCACACGCCACTTTGTCCTTTGTCCTTCCACCATTAGATGACATGGCAAGGAGGTCCTGGTTATGTACCAGGCCCTCCATCTTTGATTTTCCAGCTTTCAGAACCATGAGGAAGTAAGTTTCTGTTCTTTATAAATTATCCAATAAATAACAAGGCATTAACCAAATTGGTTCCTGATCTGAGATTCAGAAAAGTTAAGTATCTACTCCAAGGTCATCCAGTATGGCACAAAATTGTGACTTGACCTGTTATCTACACCACATTGTTTGACAGCTAAAGAAAATCAGCAGCTCTCCTGTGGGGAGAGATTATAGAAGTGAGACTTGGAGTCTCCTGCTGATGGGAAAACCCACCACTGAAATCAGTGTTATCTGTCAGGTGGGGAGAAATTAAAAAATGTAGA